CTTCCTTTGTTAGATTGATTCTTATTTAAATTTTTTGGATGCTATTGTGAAGGATGTGGCTTTCCTAATTTCCCTCTCAGTGAGTTTGTTGTTTGTGTACAAACATGCTATTGATTTTTGAGTGTTGGCTTTGTACCCAGCTATTCTACTGAATTTGGTTTTCAAATATAGATGTCTTTTGGTGAAGTTTAGCAATATATGTGCACTCATGTTTATAGCGGTACAATATGTAATAGCTAAATCTTTGAAACAGCCAATGCCCATCATCCAAGGAATGGATAAAAAAGATGGGACCTTTTTATACAGTGGAGTACTATTCAGCATGAAGGAGAATGAACTTAAAACTTTTAGAGGCAAATGAATGCTACTTGAGACCATATGCACAAGTGAAATAAATCAGACTCACAAGTGGTAACGTTATACTGTCTCCCTGGTCTGAGAAACTGAAATAGTAAATAAGGTCCAAAATGTACAATAGATATTGTGAAATGGGAAGACATTGGGGCTGGGGATTTAGCTCAGCGGCATAAGCGCCTGCCTTGCAAGCAGGCAGTCGTGAGTTCGATCCCTGGTACCGATAAAAAGGAAAAAGACAAAAAAAAAAAAAAAAAAAAAAAGAAAAGAAATAGGAAGACATTGTTCACAAGGAAAAAGGAACTAGGATGGGTGAAAGAGAAAACGACAGCAGGGCAAGGGGAAAAAATGCAAGTCAGTAATGCTAATAGTGTTTCTTAGTTCATTAAATAGGAAAGTTTATGTAATATCAATTGGAGAAGTTTTGATGCCCATGTCTTACACCCTGAGCAACTACTTCAAAAATAACAACAGGTAATGTACTAACAATTGTTATTCCCCTATTATTTTGTTATGAAATTTGTTTTACCTTTTTTCCTTAAAAGAAATGGTGCTGAATGATGCCCGGTTCTTGCTGACATTGTTAGTCTAGTAGATATTTCAAAAAGAATAAAATGTGCCGTGTCCTGATACCATCTCTGTTTAACGTAGTACAGCCTGCCTTGGATCTGTACTTAACCAGGGGAAAAGAAAATGTTTTAAATAGCCTCTTAAGCAAAAAAACACAAACAACTCCTTAGTCTATTCCAAATTAGGGGCAAAAGAATGGATTCTGCCTCCTCCCGATGTGGCAAGCAGCTGAGTTGTACCCTACGAAGTGGACAAGATGAGCTAGAACCTAGCAGGAGAAAATATTATTTTGTACTTGTGTCCTTTTTCCCAGTCAAGTCATAAAAGATTTATTCAACTTGCACATATAAGGTTTGAAAAAGAGAGGGCTTCACCGTGTTCTTCCTGGCACAAATAACCTGTGCTGCATGGTATGTGCTACAAAGAGATTCTTTTAGTGCTAAATCCAGGGTGTCACCTCCCTATGGATGCAGTAAATATAAAAGCACTGTGTTCTGTTTGGGGGCTGAGTAGGTAAGAGCAGTTATACTTTGATCATGTCTGGAATGGGAGCATAGATTCCTCATATTCTTCATGGGAGTAAGAGATGGGAGCTCCACATATAATCCAGACACTCACAGGCAGTAAAATTGTACAACGGCTTCCTTTTAAAGTCCAGAGGTTTAGCTCTAATTTCTGAGTCCACAGTTTATGCCTATTAAGGTCCAGTTAGCATTAAGATGAAAGAAAAATCTCTCTGTGGCATCCAGTTTTCCTTAACTGCAGGTATTCCACAGTACCTGTAGTTATTGTTTGCTGAGTCAATGAAGGAATGCAGTCACTCACCTTTCTAAGCTATGGTTCTAATAAATCTGATACTCAGAGCGATTCATTACTACATGATTTTACTAACATTTGACCTACTAGAGAAAAAGTTTTGGAATAAATTTTGGCTAATTGGATTCCAAGTTATGGGTTATTTTTTCCTAGTTTTTCTAGTGATTGACTATGACTTTGTTTTTCTAGTGATTGTTGGCTCTTCAATTTACTTCTTTCCCATTGAGACATGATGCTTATATTCTGCCATTCAGGAATGAGATAGAGCGATATCCTACACGCATTTAGTGTCCTTGTGGCTTTAGAGTGTAACTCCTATGAAGATGAGACCAGTGCCTGAGGGTCTGTGACTGACAGCTGTTTAGTCAGGCCACAAGAGAAAAGGCCTCATGGGATGAATGACAGGCAGCAGGTGGCCACGCCCTCCTCAGTGACTTAAAAAATGTGTTCAGTCATCAGTTGAGATTTAGAATAACAACCAGCAAATGCTTTCGGAGCATCCATTGTGTATCTACCATCATATCTAGATACTTTCAGATTTTTCTTGTTTAATTTTAATTCTCAAAACAACAAACATGATGTTTGTGAGGATTATAATGGCTTAACATCAAGACAAAGTGGAGCTCAAGTTACAGACAGGAAAAAGCACTTCAGCCTGTTCCCTTCTTTCCCCCGTCATACTAGGATTTCAGGGATTATTTTAAAGGAGGAAAAGAGAGGACAATCTGATAGCTAGATGTTTCTTTTATTTCTTCCTCTAGAGTAGTTCAGGTTTTCTCAGTCCTTACTGTGAATATATGTAACCATAAGCACTGAGTCAGCTATCTTAATACTTTAAGGAGATCAATTTGTTTTTCAGGGAGCTCAGTTTCTTGCTTTAGGCACTGATTTTTTAGCCCTTGATTAGCAAGAAGCTCTACTTTATTCAAAATATGTAATACAATAAAAAGGGGGGCTGGGGATGTAGCTCAGTGGCATAAGTGCCTGCCTTGCAAGCGTGCAGTCGTGAGATCCCTGGTACCGATAAAAAAAATATGTAATACAACTTTTAAAATGTAAAATAAAATTCTAAAAACAATGGTTATTGCCACACAGGGTTTCCATGAGTGATAGAAGTACCCAGAGAATTGTCTGATCATATTTTTTAGCATCTTTATCTCATTGCATTTGGCACTGGCAACTACAAGAAAGAAAAAGGATCAAATAAGAAAGAGTTCTTTAGGTTCGAAGTTTCTCTTAAAAGCTTTCTTTCTTTTACAGGCCCATAAGAGAACATTTGCTCTCCATCCTTCTCTGTCTCAACCTTTCAACATTGTTCTGTATCTTTTTTCACCATAAGAAGGAAAAGCAGACACTTCCTTGCAAAAAGTAACTTTCATAACACTTTTTGATTCACGATAACAAGCTTTTCTGAAATAACCCTTCATTCTGACACTTCCCATAGTAATTCTTTGCCACATAAAACCATAACCTGGTTTAAAAGCACATGCTTCGGGGTCAAGTTAGGAATAAATCCCAAATTTGCCATTTATAACTGGGACTTTGCACAATTATTTCAACCTCTCCGAGATTTGTTTTCCTGTTAGTGGAACAGGGATAATTTCTGGCTCCCTCCCAGGACTGCTAAGAATAACATGCTAAGGATGCAGCAAGTTTCTGTAGTATTTGTGGATTCAATGAGAAGCACTTGTAGGACACACAGTGTGGGAGCAATCACATAGTCTGTCCTCATTCAAATGTAGCCATGACTCCCTCAGAGCAGCTAAATAACTAAGGGCAATCTTGTTTTATATAATCTAAGTAAGTAGAAAGAACGGACTTGGGAGACAGGAGCACTTTGGTGATGTAATAGAATATAAATACGTAATAAAAAAAGCATTTGAGAGACTTAATTTGTAAATTGCAATTTTGTCCAGTTTCAATTCTGCCACTAAAACTCATTCCCTAAGACAACATGCAGTTGTGGGTGCATTTCCACATCTCCATGGCTGGGCCCTCTACCTCCACTTAAACTGGGTTCCTCGATTTCAGCTCAGCTTGCTTCCCTGGTCTACCTCAGACCTCAGTAGTACCAGATCCATTAGCCCATCTGTTCTCATTTCCCACATCTGGGAGCCACAGACTCTTCAGTGGCCCTGCTAAGCTCAATGGATCCAACTCAACAGTGCAGGAAAGCAGGACTTCAAGGCCCCATGTGACTAAATTGGTGGTGCCAGGCTTTTGGTGGTAAAACCATTCTCTAGATTGGCATGGATCTTTCATCAAGGCAGCTTCTTCCCATGGTGCTGAAGGCCAATGTGCAAGAACTTTCTTGCTACTCAGCTTTTCTTTGACTCACCTAACTCACCTGCTCCTCGTGCCAAATGTCAGAGAGCAGGAGACCTGTAAGATCACTGCAGCCTGCTTTCTCTCCCACCCCATATTATCATGAACCTCTCTTACTGCCTTTGTATCATCTATTTCTCCATCCTAATGCAAAGAAAGCCTTAACGGCCAGTGGATAATTTCTACCCTTTATGCTAAGTCTATAAGCCTAATATCCTATGATGAGTAATTAGCCTGCCGATATAGGGAAAAAATAAAAGAATGTAAAAACTTCTTTTAAGACAGTATCTGGTTGGCAAGGCTACATTTTTTTCTGCATAGTTGTATTTTGTATGTTAGAAATTAAATATTGCCTTGGTATTTCTCTGTGCTGATTTAGAACTCAGTTCTAATCTTTGTAGGCTTATGGATGGCTTGGATCAAGTAAGACAAGGTCTTGTATTTGAAAAGACAAGGAAGAAATGCACATTATAATATTTTGAATATTTCCTTACAGCATTTTCAGGATCAAAATGTAGTTTATTAGGAAATTTTCTTCTCAGAGCGTTACAAAGATGTTGAGGTCACAAAGAGCTGCACAGTATTTTAAATTAAATCATCTATTATTTGTATTCCATAACTGTGCAAAATAGAAACCAGATTCTGCAAATTCCACATATTTAGAATTGCTTGTATTATATAGATACATTTTCAATGTAAACTATCTTGGTATTTTTATGGTGTTGGTACTTATTTATGCTGAACTAACCTGTGATCAGCTTTCCCCAGATGGAAACTTAAATCTCCACAGCTGTTTTCAAACAGTCAGATAGTTGATTTTTGTTACGTTCAGATTCATAAACTGAATGGCCAGGTTTAATTGCTAGTGTTTCATGTACACATGTGTAGATTTTAAACTAGAAAAGTAGAAACTGAAAGTATGTTTTCTTTGGCAGGCATTTGATGTACTTGGAAGAATTGAAGCTTACCTTAAGCTCCTTAAATCAGAGGGTTTAAGTCTGCCTGACTTGGCAGCGAGGCATGAGGAATTACACAGAGAAATTAAAGAGTGCGCAGCTGATGCTTTGCAAAAGGGACAAACCTTAATCAGCCAGGTAGACTCCTGCAGGTAAGTAAAGTGCATTTCCTCCTTGGTGTAACAAGCTTCTTCACAGTGTACACAGCCTGTTAAAAAATAAAGTTGCATGAGTTCTTCCCTGCTTCTGATGATTTGCTGCATTATGACATGGCTTAAGAGAATCTATTGAATTTTGCTCCTCAGTAATTCTGAATACAGTGTTGCTCATTCAGAAGTGAGGCCATTTTCTAAGCCTGAGGACTTAAAGATGCTAAAGCTTTCTTTCTGCATGTTTCTGAGGAAGGGCAAGGGAACAGGCAAAGTAAAAAACAGAGCTTTCATTCTCAAGCTTTTCATATTCATACTTCACCTTTTTCCCTTTAGTTCATGAGCTTACAATCTCTCCTGTCCGTTTTTTTTTTTTTTTCTTTCGGGAAAAAAAAGTACCAGAATTCATAATCCTGTGGTTCACCATAACAGATGGACAATTAATAACAATTGCTCACTTTTATTGAGAGCCTGCTATGTGCCAGGCTCAGTGCTGATAACTTTCGGAGCATTATCTCAGTAATCCTCCCAGCAACTCTACAGAGCACACAGTATTAATGTCTTTCTATTACAGATAAGGTAACTGAGACACACAGAGCTTAAGTAACTTGCAAAAGGTCACATAGCCAGTTCATGACAGACTTTGAATTTAAATGCATGGGCCCCACACTCCATACCCTCACACAGCACGGTTCATTTCTGTGAGTGCATTTGGTGAATTCGAGGTGGGTGGCTGTGAGGAGGGAAAAGGATCTTGAGAATACAGTGGGAAAATGTGGAAGAGAACAGGGATTGGAAGACAAAGGGGAGATGGCAGTGTGGATCATGGAAACGGTATTGACCAGGAAATAATGAAGACAGATTTACCATTGGGCAGAGAATGACTTCACAAATTTGTATAAATAGGATAAACCTCGTCTTCTTCCATGTCTACACTCTTGAAACTCAAAGACATTCACTTTGAGGAATAATGAAACAGGAGGGCTGTGGTAAAAATTTCCTTCTGCTCAAACCCTGTTTTGCTCTATTTTAGATATGTATAAAGTATTGATTTGAAAGTATAGGTTTAGGGAATTCTCTTTTCAGAAAACAGTCTCACTCTTGACACAGATTTTTAATACAGGATTTTGATGGTTGCAATAGTACTGTGCAATTCCAAGCTTAGAAATAATCCTGGGTCTTCAGCAAGAGCTGAAAGGATGAGGCTATGAGGATGAGCATCTCTCTCCTTTGAAAAACTACCCATGCCAACAGCAGCTGCTAAATGCCTTTGCTTTGACTCCAAGTCACACAGCAAGTGGTGGTGGAGTCTGTTAGATTCTAGATTCCACGCCCCATCTAGGCACAAGCGGAAGGGCAGGACCTCCTTCAGCCCACGCTTAGCTTGTTTTTCCAGAATGTATAAACATCGGGGGCCATGCAGAAGGTAGCCTCGAGGTAGAATAAGCACTTAGTGCCTCCACTCAGGGTGCCTTCGATATCAACCTGAGTCACATGACGGCCAGGTTAAGTGGTGATGTCCGCCCTTGTCATCAGAGAGATCCCAGCTCTGTTTATCGAGTGGCTCTGAAATCTCAGCAGCTGTCATGTCTCTGGTCAAGTTGCTCTTTGCCTGTGCTGTTTCCTCTGGCCTTGGGGAGGTTCTTTATGCATGAACAGATCAGAATGTAGCCAAAAAAAACCCCTTCCCAGCTCTCTGGAGTTCTGCATTAGTCCTCTTCAGTGCTCCACCCAGCAAATTCTGAGCGCTTGGCTTCTCAGAAGTCTGATGCCTGATTTATTAACTTTGCAGGAGCTCTGGGTTTTTAGGATTCTATCTGCCTGAACTTTGCTCCAGGAACAGCCCCCCAGGCCGTAAGCTGGTGTGATCAGTCGTAAGGCTCATCTCCTTTCTTTCCCTTCTCTGGGATTCTGTCTTGTGCTCCCTGCTGTCCGCTCTGGAAACGATGGTTTCATATCTTTGTCTTTTTCTAGTCAGTTATGACATGAGAGTAAATCCAACCCCTGCTTCTTTTTCTGGTCAGTTTTGACACTTTACTCCTCGAGTTAAAAACGTGGTTGCAGCTTTTTACTGCTCAATTTTATCTTCTTTGCTCCGATCAGTAACACTTTATTTTCAATATTTAAGATGTAAGAGAAAAGCTTTTATTTTAGGTATTTCTATCTTCTTATTTTTGTGAAAGTTTTTAGCTATCCATTTTGAATGGTTGGCATGTTTGTTTATTAGCTAGTCTCATTCTTTTTTTTGCTTAGTTTTCTCTAGTCTTATTTTTTACATATTTATTGTTATTCAAAGAGTAATCTATCATTTTTGGTTTTCAAGAAGCAGAGTGGGTCATAATAGGAAAAGCAAAAATTAAGACCATTCTTAAAAACTTGAATTAATGATATTCTGGCTTAAAAACCAGTTAACTGGTTTTTAAAAATTAGCCATATGATTTCTATTAGTGTCTTAGAAGTATAAGCTCTTTGTAATTCAAGGTGCTTGGCTGCTCTGAGATAAGACAGTATTGTATAAATCAACACTACTTTCATTGTATGGGAGGAATGGACAGTAAAGTGAAATTGTTAGCAAAGGATATTTTTGACTCAGAAGGCAGATGTAGAACAGAAATCCATTAAAATGGAATTGAAACACATTGGAATCGCAGTTGCGAACTTCAGCCATACGTGGTTACTGACCTCAGTCCCATGCTTTCCCTTTGGAACTTGATGCCCCTTTTCATTTAATGCTCCATCCGCTCATTGGTGGGTCCCTATCAAAGGAAAGAAGCAGAACCCAGGAAGCAAATGTCAAGTTGCAGCAACACAGGTGGAATTCAGAGTTGTGGCGATGGAAATAAACATAAATTTCAACAGAGAAACATGCATATTATTGCACATCACTATGGCTTCCTATGGCTCAATGCCAGCCACACTACCAGGACTAAATAACAAGGGTACCATTAGCGGATATTTGAAAATAGGGATGAATAAGAAACTTAAGACATTAGGTCAAAAGAATTTTATTTCTTGCAACCTGAGAATGGAAATAATAATATAACTTTTAAACTTAATTTCTATAAACCCTGCTTTCCTCATCTGTAAAATAAACATATACATTTCATAGTTTTTTGTTTTTGTTTTTTTTATCAGTAGCAGGGATTGAACTCACAACCATGTGCTTGCAAGGCAGGCGCTTATGCTGCTGAGCTAAATCCCCAGCCCCACATTTCATAGTGTTTAAAAATTAAATAAGATAGCACCATTCCTTACACATATAGCATTCCTATAAACCATTAGTTAACTTTATTATGTTCTATACAAAAGTTTAAAAACAAAATGTGAAGAGTCACAAAGGCTAGTTCAGAAAACTACAACAGAGTGAGTGACATCAAATTGTCATATTTATTTTGCCCAACAAGGAAGTCCACTATTGAAATAGAGAAGATAAACACTTATTTTAAGGTATAATTTAGTATTGAGTCCTAAAGTCCCATTTTTTCCTGTTAGTAATAAAAAGTACAAGCTCAGAAGTTCACATTTATCAAGATAAAGATTTCTCAGTAAATCTGAGGCCTTTGTCATTACTGTTCTGTAATTGCTACCTTATTAGGAACAGACCCACACTATTTTTCTGGAAACAAATGCATTTGAACTTTGAACAACTTCACAGAATAAATAGTGGTTATTTTCATTTTCCCGTGTGTTTTCTGTATCTTGCCTATAATTGGATGATAATTCTGAGTCATTGTGGAGAAGTTTTATCTTTCTTAGAATGTCTCTGCTATATAGCCTAAGTATACCAATGGTAAAGATATCTCAGTGTACTCTTTGCATTTATGCTAGCTACCTATGGGAGTAGGTGGTGTTGATCAAACTTCAATTGTGGTGAGGTTGAAAACTCTTGGCTTCCAGCTTTATCTCTTCCTAGGCCTTGCTTGGCAATGAGCACTGACTAAAGATAGACCAAAGGGAGCCAGCTCCCAAGCAGAGATCTGCAATTTTAAGCCACAGGAAGCTGCAGTGATTGAAGTATTAGGCCTGAGACCTGGTGAGAGGGCAAAGTTTTCCATACTGGGACAAATAGAGGAGCCTCTTTTGTTTTCTCTTAGTATGGCTGCCAATTCAGAGCTCAAAACACACAAACACCCAGCAGGACCAGGCTACCTTGTGAGATATGCATTTGCCTTTTCTGCTTAACATTAATTTAAGATTTATAAGTGTATGTATATAAACGGCACTTTTGTCCCTATGTAAAAGATGCTACCAATTTTCATTCTACATTGTCATGGTAGATTTAAATTTATAACTCTCATCCTAACTGAATATTTTGCTTTGGTATAACTTGAAGTATTAGCTGTTTTGCTTCAATACATAGCCACTTTCTTTTGCATATTTCACAGAGAAATAAAAATGGGAGTTAATGGAAATTTTCTTTTCTTTTCCCACAGTTTTCATTTACGGTGGCTCCCACTCCTGTCTTGGTTGATGTTATGAATGTTAATGAAATCAGGACAGAACAGGATCGATTAGTTCTTTCGATGTGTTTTGTAAATCAGGTGCTCTCAAGCATCCAGTGTAACTGGTGGAATGTTTCTGCTCATGCTGATGTGTTGTGAGAAGAAAGATCCAACCAAATGCATAAGTGAGATGCTCTCACACAGCCATGAGTCCTATGAGCAAATGCAAAAGTGAGATGGGACGGACAGTGATATGGTAGAGGAGCCCTTTCAGACAGTGGAGTCAAGGAAGGACCCTTTAAAGGGAAGGATACTGTGCCATGGAACACATGGACCTTGCCGAGGGACAGTGGGGTAGAGAAGTTTATAAGAAAACAAGGGTATAGGACAAGACCAAAGAGTTAGGTGGAACTTAGACCATGTTCAAAGGCTCGTTCATCAGCAATAATGAGAGTGGTTACTACATTAGAAGACTTGTTCTACATTGCCCCTGTTTTGCAGATGAGGAAACCGGGGCATAGACACATTCAATAAGGTGCTCTGCTCCCTGCCCCACAGCAGTAAGAACTGAAGTGCTGGAATCGGTCTGAACTGTCCTGTGAGACTGCTAGATCTCT